AAGTGGGTCAGTCTACAGTACATACTTACATACATGACGTAGTGGGTCAGTCTACAGTACACACTTACATACATGACGTAGTGGGTCAGTCTACAGTACACACTTACATGCATGACGTGCTGGGTCAGTCTACAGTACATACTTACATACATGAGGTAGTGGGTCAGTCTACAGTACACACTTACATACATGACGTGCTGGGTCAGTCTACAGTACACAATTACATGCATGACGTAGTTGGTCAGTCTACAGTACATACTTTTTATAGATGATGTAGTGGGTCAGTCTACAGTACACACTTACATACATGACGTAGTAGGTCAGTCTACAGTACGCCCTAACATTCAGTTTTCACGCTTTATAAGATCAGATGCCCTTGTTATGTTATGAACTGACTTTTGATACCGCATCTTTTCAAGGGCCTGTCACTTGTTACACTAGTGCAATGTAAAATGCAGACTTATTATGCCTGGTAAGTATGTGAGAAGGCTCTGATTGTGTCTCTGGCTGTCTCCTCAACGGGTTGGGTCACCTGTAAGACTTAATTTGGTCAGATCGGGTATCACTGCTACAGATCTGAAATGTTGCAATTAATTTGAATTAATTCGTTCACTCACAACCTTTGTATATTTTGTGTGACGTTTCTATTAACTTATTAATCCTACCTGTTGGAGCGAACAACACCGACAGTGCCGGCTACCAGGCTGGCCTAAAATGGTTGTAAACTGGGATTGGCCGTTGACAAGTAGGATAGCTTCTTTGATATTTAGTAGAAATTGTACACCAGGTGACAGTGTTTCAAACTGAATGCCAGTCACGCGTGTTGTTGACCTGATACGAAATATGTTATCAGGATGAAGATGACAGAATCTTATATCTCCCAGAAAACCTGTTGCAAGGATTTCAATTTGTCTTCTTCAGTCACACAATGGACACAAAAGAGTGAGTGAGTGAGTTAAAATTTTATGTCACATTTGCGACGTTTCAGCGACATCGTGACGACAGAAATTCATAAAGTAAGAATGAATATAAGCATACTCTACAAAATCTGTCATCGCTGTCATAAAGCTAGTGTGTGAGTATGTAAAACATTTAAACTATTAATAATGAGGAACACTGTATTAGAAAGGTCTAGAGATCGCTAGCAACCAAAGTTAGGCCACCATACTAGGGACAGAGGGGACTTCCCTAGCAGGATTTACACCACCCCTTCAGCTGCTAGTGATTGTACGCAATGTTAGCTAGATATATTGAATACACAAATAAACTGCGGTTATAAACGGTGAAAGAATAGCATGTTGTTTTTATGATGTGGGCTTCCATACCCCATTCATGGGGACAGGAGCTTTAAAGTATTTCAATAGGTAACGTGAGACTGCGGGTTGGCCAGCCACAGTGTGACATTGTTCCATAAGACCAACATTGTACGGAAACATTTATACACATTCATAGTAGTAACGATTAAACTATTGGTTGTTAGCATGTGGTCGGGGTCAGCGTGACCCCATACAGCTATAACATTGTCCACTTTTACTTTCCGTGCATAAATCAATATCCTTGGAAAGATAGGTATTGTTCGTTATCACGTAACATGTATATATTTATATCTGAAGGCGTGTCCCCGAATTAACATACACATGTAGTAATTCCTGCTTCATAGAAAAGGTGCAGAAGACACACCGAGGGGCAGCGTCTGTGGTGGTCCGGAGTTAGGTGGCTGAAGGTGTCTCGACGTGACTGATAATCAGTCACTAGATACCAGACAACGAACACAAAATAGGTAGGTCTTGCTTGCGTAAATTCACTTCATGTGTTTCTATCAATGTGACTTGTGGACCTTTCTCTGTTCACCAATGTTTCTCCATGTACTGATGCATCTGTTTTATGTTTACCGTACGATCGTGAGCTTTATTATATGATCTGACATGTAGTGCTATGTATGCGAATAGAAATATGCGCAAAGATCAACACGATAAAAATATAGCATGAAAGAAAACTACACAAGCCTTTTAGCAGATGTTTACCTCGGCACAATGCGACATTTGTGAAAATGAACACTATTGAAACAGAAAGTTGTTGAAGCTACCCACTTCAGCCTTTTTGCCATTGTTCGGAAGTATCTGCTTGTAGTGTCTGAACCGGTTATTGTGCTCGAATTGACAGACTTCTTCGTAGTTTTAGGCATCCAAATCTTGACATTGATAGCATGCTTTACAAACAATAGTAACTCAATCCAAGTGCATCTTTGAGCAATAATTCCATAGGTGGCCGAAATAGTTAAAACTATTCTTATTATCTCTTAAAGTCACCTTCAAGCAGATCACGTTGATAATCTTGTATCGTTCTGCCATCTGATATCGTTTTCTGTTGCAAATTGTATATTGTTTTCCCCACAAAGTAATGCTTGTGACTGTAGGTCCAGCAGCATCGAATATCACTTTATACTGGTTCTAACTAAACAAAGAGCCGCAAGTAAGATTGTTTTAAAAACAATCATGCTTATGCTTTACCACCCAACAGTGATCTACCAAAAAGGAACCTTTAGTCAGGTCTGATATGACTTGTTAAGTGCACTATCACATGTTTACAACCGTAATTTGAATCGACGTGTTCGATATGTTGCATGTCTCTAGTCGCTGACGTTTCTCAACTGTTTCACTATTGATCATGGTGACGGCCACATCTGGCTGGCTATTGCTGCTGAATTCTTCAACCATATCAAGGCTGAGTCAAGCGTATTGGGTGAGACTATTCAAGTGAACTGTTTTCATGAAGTTTGTTTGTTTCAGCTAGTGTTTCAGGGAAAAAATGGAATAATTGCTCATAATGTCTGTTCAGTTCGTTGTATGTTTTCTTGTGTATTAAGGGACGAATAATGAACGGGACAGGAAGATAAGACTTCATGTGTCATTGAAGGTGATCTCTCTTAAGTATAAAACGACCAGAGGATATGAATCTTTGCTTACATGTACACCCATTACACTACTTGTTCGAGGTTGGCCAAATGATCTTTGAAGTTTCGATACCTTATCGACATTATTGTGATTGATCTAAACACATGATAAATGTGGAACACCGTTTATGCCTGTTATTATTTGTGGGTCGCTTTCATTTCAAAGAGTAACCACATGCACCTTGAATCGCAGGAGGGTATACCCTATGATGTTGTCGTACAAATAAATCATACATTTCTTAAGATGAACCTCCAGGTGGACCCTGTGCTGGATGCCTTGTTTCAGGCCTGTGTTTTCACGACTGACGTAGACAAGCAAGTTGGATTTAGATGACATTTTGTCTGCAAGACACAAGTAACTGGTAGTATCGAAGTTTTAATGTATTGTCTGATACATTACGTGAATGCTGTGTATGGTGTGGGCTGTTTTATTTGATTATTTGGTTCAAAACCAATTACAAAATAAGTACTGACTGAAGCCAGACGTCCTGCAGGACGGATTCTAAATACCTTGTGTTTGCACATTATTATATTGGAAAAAAGAATAGTCATCAGTCAAAGATCATATATATTTGAATTAAGTTGCTAGCCTTGACCCTTCATTTGATGATTGTTTGGGACTTGTGTGTAAATAAAGTCGGCGTTATGTACTTTAAGTCCTCGGTTGACAGTGTGTACTCCAAGTGCTCACTTGGCAATGTGTATTTGATATGCCCAATGCGCCAGACGTCCTGCCTGGCGGATTCTAAATGCCTTATGTTTGAACATTAATATATTGGAAAAAGAATAGTCATCAGTCAAAGATCACATGATAAGTCGTCAGACTGCTTTCCATCAGCGCATTTCATGCATGGTGGAGCACAATACATGACCAACATTACCTATAAAAAGTACCTTTAGTCGGGTAGAATATACCTTGTGGTTAAGTGCAGTATCATATTTTCAACGTTATATGTTTACACGTTCATATTTCGAACGTACGTGTTTGACATGTTGTGTGTCTCTTATCTCTGACATTCTACTACTGTTTCACCATTGGACATATTTGATACTTATTCTCAGCTGTTGAGCATCAGAAATGCTGTAGCAACATCGCACCTTTGCCCCGATTGTTTGTGCTGAATGAAACGGGATTATGCTTCTGTGAAGTTTTAATGGCATGGTTGTGATTCATCCCCAAAGGACAAACACAGTAAAGATGGAAGATAGCACAATGTACAATGTTATATGTGCCACTTTCCCTTCCCAGAGAGAACCACAGACGTCATCACAGGTTGGACATGGCCCACGCCATTATCCTGCAGAAGAATCATGTGTTTCTGAAGGAGGAACTTCAGGTCGACCATGTGCTTAACGCCTTGTATGCGGAACGTATCTTCACATGGGAGGACTATGAAAGGTGTAGAGATTCTGGACGAGAGAAATGCCAGGTGTTCCTCGACACTCTGAGGAAAAAAAGGAGTCGAAGGGTACAAGGCATTGTGTGCTGCCCTTGAGAAGTCACAGCCACATATCAAGACAAAACTTGATGCTACTTCAACTGAAGAAGGTTTGCATGTGTAAAGGTTTCGTGTGACTGAAACACAAACACACACCACTCTCACACACGTGTATATCTATATGTAAACACTTAACATAGTAAACAAAAGGCTTGTTTATGAACGACTTACGGCAGCGCTTTTTACTGGGGTAATGCTTTGTGACTAGACAGTCAGTTATGTCATAGTCTAAGGGGGGATAGCACTCACCTGTTTAGCTCGGAAAGCAGCGACCCCATGATGTCATAACATTTCAAGGCTTTTAATGTGTGTTCTACTTTCAGTGTGACAAAATTGAGCTTATATTTTCAATCACTGATATTGCCCGATTCTTAAATTCCGATATGAAAACAAGGCGATTTCTTTGTGCACACTTAGGCTTTAACATCGTACTTGTTTCATGGACGACTTGTGATGACTACCTTTCCTGACAGCTGCAGTGCCTGTGTAACTATAAGTCTTCAAGATTGTACGACATGATGGGACGCCATGAATATCATACATTTCAGGTCACTCAGATCTTATCTATGTGAACAAGGACAAGCTCGAGGCTCAGCACAAAGGGGAACTTGATGGAAAAGAGAGACAAATTGCAGCACTCCACACTGTGAGTTTGTAAAATGCAGAACATCCTTGTCAGCTTATCACATAACAAGGCAAGTAGACAAAGCATTTTTAATATCCAGATTTTAATACTTCAAATTTGGAAGGTCATTCATGTTTAGTGGTCATACCTTGGTGAGTGTGTCAGGTGACATCAGTCCACAAGGTGTACAAATTAACTCGTGACAGTCTGAACACCTCGTGTGACGTAACACATTTGCATATGGAAGGATGGACTGTTGCTTCAAACTGTTCGTCAGACCCTATTCATCCCATGTGGTCAATTCTCTCCATGGCAGTTATTTCTATATAAAGCGTCTTTTCATTTCTTTTCGCATGACACACTGACTGACCGTGTTTACGAGTCATTAACGTGTGTTTTCAGGAAATAGAAAGACTTCAGCTACAAATTAAGCAAAAAGACAAGGCCCACGCTGAGCTGAAGGGAACAATTAAAAAGGAAAGAGCTGAACACATATCGCAGACTGAAAAGCACAATGATGAAGTTGAAGCTCGTAAGCTGACAATTGTCACATATAGTGAATTATAGTGGGTACTTGGAATTATAACGCGTACACTGCCTATGGATATGTCTCTTTGTGTGTGCGTCGGTGTGTGAGTGCAGCATCATAGAGAGAGAGAGAGAGGGATATATTTGATACTTATTCTCAACTGTTGAGAGAGAGAGAGAGGAGAGAGAGAGAGAGAGAGAGAGAGAGAGAGAGAGAGAGAGAGAGAGAGAGAGAGAGAGATATTTACTGTCAATAAGCTAGCTTGGTGAAGTCGTGATTTATTATTTCTGCAATTGTCTCTTGCCAGTAAAAACAGAATTATCCAAGACCGATGCGGATTTACAACAGAGTAAAGAAGAATGTGAGAAAGTGTACAAGGTGAGTATTTGAAAGAAATGACTTGCAGCGCATACGAAATAGAAACAAACTGGCACCTGTCACATCATGACATGTTGATGTTCTGGTGATTAATATTGAAACATGGGTGAAGGAAGAAAGGGTGAGAATGGATTTTTTTATACATTAAAACTGAGAAACATCTTCTGAAATTAAACGAAAAGGAACACATATGATCAATAGATGAAGTGGTAAATGTCGTTACAGAGACTACAAGAAAAACAGGAGGCATACGATGCTCTAGTGGGTGATCCAAGGTCACACTCTCCAGACTGGGTGGACAATACAGAGCAAGTCCAACATGGAGGTACATTAAGCAGATGAACAATCCGTCATGTATATGTAACACTAATTACAAAAGAGCGAGTGGATATGTATAAATATATTTCTTTTAATTAGGTTTAGTTTAACTCAACTTTGGTGTCATTTTTATGTTGTTAGATTCAACTGAAACAGTGTGCCAGTTTTCAACTCAGTCCTGTTGTAATGAGAGTCAGCTTTGTCTTCTTCCATGCCTTCATTCTGCCTGCAAGCCATGCACAGTGGGTGGAGGGACAATCTGTCTTTCAAACTAAACAGTTATCTTAAATATTAACACAAGCTTCAATACCTAACCCTATATCCGGTCCATTGAATTTTACCTATGTTGTGTTACTTTTCTGTCATCAGATTCTGAGGAGGGAATGTGCCAATTTTCAACTCAGTCCTGTTGTGATGAGAGTCAGCTTCGTCTTCTTCCATGCCTTCATTCTGCATGCAAGCCATGCCTTGATCACCAAGCTACACAGGCCGAAGAGAACTGCATACACTGTCCTTCCTGTGGTCGTGAGTTCACCATGGAGCAGACAACAGTAGATCATGTCAGACGCAATGAAGCTGCCTATAAAGTCAACGCTGATGGTGAGATGAAATGCAGCTACATCGAAGGGAATCATGATGCTAAGGCTGTGGTGTACTGTCACGAGTGTGATGAGAAGCTCTGCTCTGACTGCCATAAACACCACGACACGCCGAAACGGAATCGAAATCACAGAGTAACTGAGATCAACCAGGCCGAGAATATCCCTATGAATCAGTGGCTGAAGGACCGTAACTGCAGAGACCACCCTGACAACAAACTGCAGCTATATGACCACACGTGTAAGAAGGCAATCTGTCTTATATGTAAACATGGGGCCCACGAGATGCACCAGAATGAAGATTTTTTATCAGGCCTATGACGCTGCAAAGGATCAGCTGGAGGAACAAGTGCAGAAGCAACAACTTAAACTGAAAGATGTCACTGGCAGAATGGGAAGTGTCACCAGACACCAAAATGAACTGGGTAATACTCAGAGAAAGCTGCAAGAAGATGCCGCTACAGTTTGCACTAGTGTTGCTGTAAGGTTCCTTCGTCGACAGAGACAACTGATGAAGGAGATTCTAATGAGTCTACAGGCCCCTTTTGTAATGGTTCAAGAGAAACTTGACACTTTACATGGCGTCCATACTTCAATAGTATCGGCGATAGACTACACCCAGAGAACACTTGAATCTACAAGACGAGAGGAGCTCATTACTCTCACCGATGTACTGCAGACGAAATGTGATGAAAATCAGAAGCTGGAACTTCCAGAAGATGACACACAAGACACGAGAATCCTTCTTTCCTTTCAAGGCCAGAGAGCTCTGGAGGAACTTATCGACACATTTGGTGGTCTCGCCTCCAGTCTCAACATGGATCATATTCCAGATTCTCAACCTACTTCACAAGGTGATTATAAATCAAGACAAGATAGTACTAACGGATATGCACCCTTGTATCGTTTGACTAACTGAATTGGACCTTTGCGTTTATGATTCATTCAATTTGAATAGTTTTACATAAAACAGAATACTTCTTACTCAACTATATTTATGTTTCACGTATGCAAAGAAATATAATACTTTCAAATGATTTTATTGTGAATATAAGTTGTAAAGTGACAATTAATTATCGATGTCGTTTTAAATTTATCTGGTCTGTATTCTATTTCAGATCTGCTGGCGACGATAAGGAGAGAACGAGAAACCATCACGGTATGATGCCATGATACAGTAAATATAGTCTTCAATAATCCGCACATTTATGCATGCTTGTATATATGTGTGCGCGCATGTGCCTGCACGCGTCCAACTGTGTGTGTGTGCGTGAGTTTGTGTATGTATTTGTGGTTGCTGGATAGACAGATGCATATATGTACACACACATATTGTGCTCAATAACTGATTTGTTGTTGCAAGTGTTGTTGTTGTTGTTTCAGATGCATGAAGGGCGGTGGCAACAGCTTCAACAGATGATACATCGCATCCCAGGTACATTGCGACACCATGGTGGAGGACTACACAGCAAATAACACAAACAACTTTCAAACCTTACAGTATATAATAACCAAGTGCTTAAATCAACATTAACTGAAAATGTAAATGTGTTTTCTACAGACCTAATGTTACGTTTTATTGACGTAATCTTCTATAAACACCAACAATCACATCCTTGTATCAAATACAATACAAACATATTTTTTCTTCTGTGAACAGAACTCAAAGGATCAGACAGCAGAATGGCGAGATCACAGGAACCTGAACAGCTAACATCACAAGAAGTGCATGGCATTGTCACAAATGTACGTCCAATATTCCTATGAGGATTCTGGGTTTCATCAGTACTCACTTCTTGTCGCAAGGGACGTCACGGTGGATTGAGAGGTCATTCCATCATTTCAAATGAGTGCATGTCCTCGTAACATGTAGGTAGTTAGGTCATAACTCCCAATCTCAGTCACAAGTATATTTGACAGGAACCTGGCTAACTCACAAACACCTTCAATAATGTATGAATATGCATTCTCGAAATTTATTGTACATGATATGGATGAAAGTCAACCGAATAAGGTTATACACAGACAGTTTTCTGCATTAATGCAATGAGTAGTGTACACCTTTACTTTCAGCTCATAACCGGAGCATTCATCCCCGGTGAGACAATTCCACGTGGTATTACGTTGCAAGGTATGTACAATCTGGTTTATTTTCGTTCTACCAGTAGGACATGACCTCGCTGTCTCTGTTCGCGAACAGGTATCCTCATTGATCTTCATCAAGCCGTTCATAACATTTTGTCTTGGGGACCCAATGAAATCTCTTTCAGCAGACACGATCGCGTTTTACATTTCAATTGAGTTCCCATAACAGAACTAGTTATTCGATAAATATTCATACCTACAAAACCACAAATTCATGATGCAGTTTAGTAACTGTTGTTTAATTTAGACTTGGATAACATGGAATTTCACATTTTGTCACGAAATCAAGAAAACAGGCATTCTTCATGTTCCAAAACCTAATTACACATGGCTGTGAAACGTGTATCAGCTTAAAACGAAAATAGCGTTTTCAACAACTGCATGCTTGAAGTGTTTAGTTCATTCAAGTTGACGATTCAAGCCTGTGTATCACACTGTTGTTGATGTTACAACAATTATCTGACTTCCATCAACTTGTGGCATACCCACATCACCTCGACACTCCATGGTATGACTTAAAATATGTAAATGCGGTTGAACCACAACCCACTGACGAGATATCATGTAACAATTACTTCATATCTCATCTATGTTCAGAAACAAATGTGCCATTGTGATGTTCTAACCTCTTCTTTAACAGGCTATGCCACATTGCACGTCATAAGACAGGACCGCAGTGTTAATTTCATCATCTGTAAGTAAATGTCAATCAGCATGAGTATACTATGAAATACAGACCTCTGTTGGAGAGTGTAGCTCGAAACCCAACTTCATTAATGACGCATCATGTAGTTTCGTGCACTTCACTCAATCCAATATCAGACATAATTTTCTTTGGGGTTTTCATGATGATAGATAACTCATTCGAAAAAGGTCATGATATATCCGATATCACATTTGTTATATCATAATCATAATTATCACTTATATATTTTGGGACATCGCGGACTGGTTAATCGCCAAATGAAGGCCTATAACGAGTTAAATCTCACAAAATCCGATGAAGCCAGGAGAAATGATGACCTTTTAACATTGTAATAATAATAGAATAATAGTTATCGTTCGCTTCTATGGCGCTCATATCCAGGCACATTAATACTGTCCCTTTGTCTGTTATAATTATCGTGTAGAACAATGTTACGTTTTTTGTGATGGGATTATAATCACTCTTTCTCAAACATTTTGAATGAAATATATTTAGATTCTGCCCCAGATAGATTTCTTGTGGATGTGCCCTTTTCACTCACTGTTGGATGCGACCGCCTCAAGACAAAATATGGTACTTCGTTGATCCCCGACCGCGTCCCAAAGACGTTAAAATATAGCTTGTTGCTCGGCATTAATGGGTACATCAAGGACTGGTCGGCTCGGAGTCAGTATAATGTGTCTGAGTGGGGTATTCATGCTTCACTGCGGCATGGTATCTCAGTGGGCTAGCACTATAAAACCAGCTTCAGTCTGGGCTGAGTACAAGCAGCCGCACATACACATACACGCATGCACGTCGTCATATGAGGCAGAAATATTCTCAAGCACGACGTTAAACCCAATTTCACCTCACCTCACCTCACCTCACTGTTGGATGCAAGAGTTACATGACTGACCCTTAACACTCCTTGCAAAGCATCAGCGAGCCTTTCCTACCCTAGCTGGTGAAGATCCGGATTTCAGCAGTTTGAATCTGGTGGTCCGGCCACCGCCTTGGCGAGGAACTCTTCACGCATTTACTCGTCTGCACCACCGCCCTACACCTGTGAAGATCCGGCTTTGAATTGGTCTTCGGTAATCTATGCTTGTCGTAAGGGGCGGCTGACGGAATGGGGTGGTCAGGCTCGCTGACGTCGTTGACACATGTCGTCGTATCCCAGTTGTGTAGATCGATGCTCATGCTGTTCATCACTGGAGTGTCTAGTCCAGACTCGAATATTTTAAGACCGCCATAGAGCTGGAATATTGCCGAGTGCGGCGTTAAGCAACAAACCAACCAGCCACCACCCAACAGATGTGAATGTGCATCATTTGTTTTAACCATTTGCGTTATTTTCAAAATCAGTAGTTTCAGTGATCCAAAGAAGGATAAATTGTGCCAAAACATGCTGCTTTAGTATATGATGTTATAAGAGAACTGTAGAACCAGTAAATAGATTGGAAATGGTTATATACTGACCTTGTCTGAAATTGTTTCAATTCAACTCTTACGGACAAACGCCCCCAAAATTGATCAATTTTGAATCTGCTGTGTTCTTTAGTCTGCAGGGTTAAATATGTATATGTGTGTTTAACTTAACATGCATTGATTATTGCTATGCTGCAGTATTTATATATATTTAATTAAATCGTTTATTATCCATACCATTCACAAATACGTATTTTAATCAACACACACGACCGGACAATTACCTTCCCCACACAGCGAGTGTCGTGAAACTGTGTTCAGTGATTGAAGCGGACGTAGAAGTTACCGGTTCACGTTCTGTCTGTTGAACACTTAAATGTAAAAATATCGGCAAACAGCACTTTTGTCTGTCTCATTCTTTACTATTTTGTGTGATCTGAGTTTAGAATACCTATGGTTATAAATTTATAGTGAAATGATGTTGAAATATTCCCATAATTAAGCAGCAGTAGTGTCTATTTCTGACCGCCGTCACAACAAACTAGGTCAAACTCAGCGGGGTGAAAAAAATATTTAAACCAGTGTTTATTTGTTTATCAATGCATGTAGAAATGTATGACAAACAATTTAAATACCCATCTGGATAGTATCATGTCGTTATTATTAACTATCTAGGGCACGAGTATCGTATTTACAGACGGACGCAAATGGCAGCCGAACATGTAATGCGCTGTTTTGGAATCACTGATACGGAACAAACAATACAATGATATATTGTAGGAAATTCAGTTGCTAAACTCAATAAAATAACAATTGTATTTTTCCAGGTCCTAAACTCCAACTGGACGCTGGTCGAGTCAACACACGCTACTGCCATGTTACTACAGACGGTGAGCTGGTCAACTCGCGGCCAGCCACACAACACACGGACAGTGGCAGACTACAGAGATTGTTCGGCACGTGTAGCTCCACCCCCATCCCCCTTCCTCCATCCCCCTCTAGTGTCACCCCTGTCCCCCACACAACACGATACTGGGAGACCAACACCAGGGTGGGTGGAGTGTGGTGTCCTGTCCTGGAGATGGGTGTGGGGGAGGAGCGCCAGGTAGACAGCGGGGTGTATGTTTGTCACCAGCGCCGCTCCTGGTGTGTCCGTGTAGGGATATGTCGCACACACCGGGGGAGTGTCTGCACCAGGGTGTGTCTGGCGGGGAAGGAGGGGAAGTGTTACAGAAACACAATGTCTGACTCACCCGGCACACAGGCCACCCTCCACTATGGCGTTGTGTTGGATGTCGGAAGGGGTAGAATAGGATTTATTGACGTAGACAGGTCGGTTGTTTTAGGGAAAGTTGATGTGGAGTTCAAGGAGGATCTTCTCCCTGCGTTTTCTGTCTGTGCGGTCAGTGACTTCACAGTAAACATGAAGGTGGTCAGTGGGGAGGAGATCCTCATGTCTGACATCAAGAAATCACTCATTAATGAAGCCCTGGCCTAAGAAATAAACTACACATGACCCAGTGTAAACTTGTAAATATCACACATCTACTTTAACAGACAAATTCAATACAACAGAACTGAAAGAAGCGGACATAGAAGTTACCTGTTTATGTGTTGTATGTTGTGTACAACAATGTGACAAGGTTAGCGAAATATGTCGGTTTACTTCATGGCAGTTTTCATTTGTGTACTAGAAGCGTTTTACATCCACACAAGAGTATTGTTATGATTATTATTATGTGATAACTGATCAGTTTATGAAACATTTCCCACCTTTCTGGGACATGTCACAACTAACAACAGAGTTGATGATTGAGTAAAAATTTGTTTCAAATCATGAATATCTTGACATATTTTGTTTCTACCCTGTGAAAAGAAATAATTTAAATACCCATATGTAGAGGTTAGAGATTGAAATATAATATTTGTAGCTGTAAAATAGACATGTTAATGTCAGTTCAGTTAGAAAATGAAAGTGATTGAAGCGGACATATAATGTCCCAGTTTAAATGTGCCATGGTACTTGTGTTAGGAAAGAAATGTAGCTACTAAACTGTCCGTTTCTTTATTCTATCAGTCCTGTTGTGTTTGGAAATAATTTATATTCCCTACAGAGGGTTTGCTATGTGTATTTTTTTCTTTGTTAATTTATCCCGATGTACATTTATATGTGTGTTTAAAATTGAAAGTTGAAAGTTGTGTGTGAGTTACTGTCGTGAAACACTTGGTCTACCTCTAACAAAGGGGTGTGTAGAGATGGATGTGCCACTCTTAGAGTTCCACACCAATTTTAATTCCAGGCTTTATTTTTGGTCAGTATGACATGAGTTGACCTTATACAACACCTACTGTCTATCCCCGTTGTGTTGGACTCAGATCTGCCTACTCCTCCATTAAATTACAAGACTTAACCAGGGGGATAAATTATCCCCAGAATCCCGCTTTAGAGAACTGTTTGTATTCAACATAGACTTGTTGACTTACCTGATAAATGTATGTTTGACTTTCTATGTTTCTTATTGTATGTATATGATAACATGTCTGATGTTCATTGTGTAAGATATGCTAGGTATTAGCTTATGTTATTTTATATGCATTTGAATAAATACTGGCATCAATGCTGACGATTTTGTACAGAAAACTGCCCACCTGAACAATTCTGTTGTATACTTGCTTTATCGATTAGGTTTTGGTGTTGTCTGAATTATGTAAATTAGGTGATTCATATATATTTTACTTAAAGGTCACATGCAACGTAAAACAGAACTTTGCAGATTCTGATACCTTTCGGTATGGACTTACCGAAACAAATCATCAAAAATGCAAATTCAACTTATAAAGTTGAAAATAACGCGATGAAAAAACCCTCGCGAAATCGTAGTTCAAACGATTCACTAACTTTCCCCCAGCGCTTGGGGGAATTGAAGTGGTTTCAACAGCTGGGCTGCTCTCATAGCACATGCACAGTGAAATAGGTTCGCGGAGCTTGGAAGCGGGTTGTCCGGTGAATATTCGGTGAAGGCTTTGGTGTGAGCTATTTTTCTCATGTTTTGTTGATATTTCACAGGCGCGAGCTTTAGATATGTTATGACAGTAGCTTACCGATTTAACTGTTTATATAATTTCATTTGTCAATTTCACCACACGTTCTTCTTACCGAGTCACTTTCTCAGTTCGATACTTGAAAGCAATGTCATTATTTAGCGTTGACAGAATTTCTAACTGTGATATAGGTATGTCGTTGTCACAGACAAAACTCAAAGTCTGTTTTATTGGCACCTATGTGTCTGCCTGCCCGTCTGCTAATGACAATATTCATTATACAATTTCAATCACTGACCACATGCAATTTGAACTTAACACCTATCAGGCTATACACCATAAACAAAACGCATTGATTTATGGCCCGAGTTCGGTCTCTGTCACATTATGTAATTACACAGACAGGCAGGTGTGATACTTGAACACATGACATGTTATGATGTCTGTTGATTGCAAAATGTTATACACAAAAAATGAGCATGTATTTACAAAACCCAACATCTCTATATACGAGGGTCGGTCAAAAAGTACGTAGCCTAACTATATTCTCGATGTCCAATGTTTGAAAAGCTTCCATTGTTGTTTGTAGGAATCATTGGCAAAGTCGTATAAAAAAATTCACATATGTGGGTAATGTGATTAACGAGATATTAGTCATCACAACACATTGGGGTATAATATTTCTAGAAAAAATGCAGAAAATGAAAAACGATCTGTCATGTAGTACCTCTTGGATAATGGTATGCCCTCAGATAATGTCATTATAAAATATGTTAGTATAGTATTGGATGATTTCCCGTCATAATCAACATTCAAAGATTTGGATTGCTTGATTTCTGTTTAGACAGGGCTGTTTTTTTAAGGACACACCCCTTTAATTCTTTCAAAAACATTGTGTCCAGATATTCAAGCTGGCCCTGTTTACAATATACTGAGAGTTGACACTTGTGTGACCATTCAGTATTTACTTTGAACCTTTAGCATCAAGTGTGAAAAAGTGAAAACATTAGAATAAGTTATGTCCTTATGAATTTGTCGTCTGAACGGGGTGGGTAGTGTCTCCAAAACAAGCTGTTTCAGTAAACATGAAAGGGGAATCACTTTAACAAGCGACTGTACTTTCAAATTGTTTTTTTATCCACTTTAATATCTAAGTTTGATTCTAGCGGACGTCTACCCATCTCAAACACACAAAATGTTTCTTGCATATTTTGTTACCTGACGTTTGTGGTGCATTTATTGCAGATTTTGCGCTTTTGGGGGGTACCAAGATAAAATTTCAAACAAAATGGGGATCGTAAGGCTTGAACGTAGCAAAACCATTTTGCTTGAAGTTGACAGATAATATGTAGAAAAATAAAACATAAAAACAGCTGCATTTGTATCATTTACTAGGTCAGGCTCACTACTTTTTGACTGTCCCTCGTATACACACACAATAAGCCGTGAGGGCATCTGCAAATGAACCAGCCGTTACACTTGAGTGCACACCCACCCGCTCTGACTGGGTTTGGTATCCCGGCTGCTTCGTTTCTTGGGAAGTAAACCCAAGTACAAAATATTGCACTTTTGATTTGCGATTGTACGCTTATAATTTTGTTTTTATGTTTTTTCATAACCAGCAATGTATATTATATGTCATTAATAAGTGATA